TAATAGTTTCATTAACCAGGACAACAAGACCTGTCACATAGCAGAAAGGCCTGACACGCTGATCACACCAAGAAGGTCTCGGGCTGCTAGGCCACTGCAAACAACTGATTAGATCAGGTGTTCCTCTCCAACCACAAGTGTGTCTGTCACCATGCCAGAACTAAACTTGGCTAACCTGCCCAGGCATTGACAATGAGCATTTGTTAACAAAGTAACTGTTCTGCATCTCCAGACCCTCTTCCCGCTGCATCCCAGGCTTGGTGCAAAGCAGCCATGTTGGAAGGAAGCCCAATCTGTCCCAAAACTCCACCTGGAGAGGTGGGACTCCAGTAAGACTGTGATTAGACAGCTCCCAGCTCAAACTTAGTGTGGCTGGGCTGGTTCCCTAAAATCCCAGGTTACAGGGCTCTCGATCATCCTGGTGCCGGCCACTGAGCAACCTCATTCCAAAGGTTTTGAGGGAAGAGAGAGGACGCACTGAAGGGAAGACAGGACTCCTCGATGGGCTGAGGGGCCAGATTGGGGGGACACAGGGGCCTGGAATGTCAGGCTTAGGCAGTGGCCCCTTGGTAAAACCATACTTAGCAACCTCTTAATTAGTGGCCAGGCCAACACCAGCTGACAGAAGAGCTTTCTCTGGCCTGAACAGCATTTTTCAAAATGAGTAGTCCAATATGACATATCACTTCACATAGGAAGTCTAGAATAAAAAATTGTTAAAGGAAAATGAGCAGTGTTGGTGATGACACGGAGAAGTGGGCACATTTAGACTTGCTGGTGGGGATGTGAAATGGCGTACCCACTGTGGAAAATAGTCTGGCAGGTCATCAAAAAGTTAAACACAGAATTACCATATGACTCAGAAATTCCACTCCTAGGTATGTGCCCCTCAAAACTGTAAAAAAGTGTTTCAAACAAAAACTGGTACACAAAAGGTCAAAGTTCATAGCAGCACTGCTCACAATAGCCAAAATGAGGAAACAACCCAAATCTCCATCAACAGATGAATGGATAAACAATGTGTGTCCTATCCAAACAGCGGAATACTATTCAGCCATAAAAAGGAATGAAGGACTGATACAAACTACAGCATAGATACACCTGAAAAATATTAGGTTAAATGAAAGAAGCTAGGCAATAAAGACTTTCTGTTCTATGATTCCATTTATAAGAAATGTCCAGAATAAGCAAATCTATAAAGACAAAAAACGGATTAATGATACCTTAGGGCTGGGGATGATGGAAGGACAGGGAATGGTACAGGATTTATTTTGGAGGTCATGAAAACGTCCTAAGCTGACTAGGGTGATGGTAGCACATATCTCTGAATATGCTAAAGTCCAATGAATTGTACATCTTAAATGGAGGAATTGTATGATATATACATTACATCTCAATGAAGCTGTTTTTGTATGAGAATCCAGCTTCCTGGATTCTCTTTTAAAAACTCAGAAGATGTGGCAATTCTGGGCCCAGGTACCCTGGCAAAGTCAGCTGGTGCTGAGGGACACCAGCACCAGTCAGCTGTCCCTGTGACAGCTCATCCCGGCCTACACACTCACTTGTGCCCCTGGCCCATCTTGGGTAGGCTTTGACATTGGGACCCCTGTGAGACCTTCACAAACAACTCTCATAATTGTCTCAGTATAAGGTTTTGTCCCTCATCCCCCATTTTATGGATAAGAAACATGAGAGTCCACGGGGCAGCGGTTTCAAACCCCGCACCTACTAGGCACCCCCATACCTGGTCTCTGAATGCAGTGCTCCTTCCCAGGCTCTGCTGCCAGCCACCCTGGGCTGGTCAGCTGGGAGGCAAGAGTAGGCTGGACTCCCTCCTTCCTCGACCCCCTGGCCAGGCCTGAGACAGATCCTACAAGCTGATCATTCTGCCAGGCCAGCAGGCCAGGCTCTCCATCACTGTCAAGGCCTCGGCCCGAGGGCACAGACAGAAGAGGCCAGGTTGTTCCTGCAGGCAGTGGTCACAGAATCCACAAGTGCTGGGGTGGCCAGGGGTGAGCACAGAGCATACCACGCATTCGCTTCTTTATTGGGGTTCTCCATCACGCTCCCAGAGCCAGGGTAAAGCGGGCAGAGGGAGGGCTCAGTGGAAAGCCTCCATTTGGGCTGGCTGGGCCCCCACAGAGTTGCTGCCCATGCCTACAGCTCTGCACTCTGCCTGCTAAAATGCTCTCAGTCCACACTGCTCAACTCACCTCTGTATTCCTTTGATCTGATGAGCCAAAGACCCTCCATGGCCACCTTGGGTCCTGTACCACCAGGGAACTTCCTAAAGCCCCCAGGATGCCACTGCTTCAGGTTTCTGCACTGCTGTCCACTTCCCAGTGCCTGGTGCTGCAGAGGTTAAACCCCAGGCTCTGGCTGCAGGAGGACTTGGGTTCAAGTCTCTGCCCCACAGCTCGCTGGCTAGGACCATAGGTCTGCTACTATATCGCTCCAAGCCCCTTCCCTCTCCCGCCAAATGGGGCTGGCAATTCCCAGCAGCAGTGCCAAGGGTGGCCCGGGGAGGCTTTGCTCCCCCATAATCTTCCTTGGCACCTGCCCCCATTCTCTGATACAGCCAAGTGACATTTTCTCAGCTTAATGAAAAGCGTTACACTAAAGCAGCTTCAGCCAGGCCTTTGGCCCTGTCCTCCACCAGATGGCTGCCCCAGAACCAGCCCAGGGAGAAAAGCTGGAGGTGTTGGTCGAAGAACACCCACCTCATGGGGTTGTCGTGCTGGCCCAGTGAAAGGCCGTTGTTGAGCATTTGCTCCGTGCCTGGTGAGTACCAAGAAAGTGCTCAATGAATGTGACATATGACATCCCCCACGTCCAGGGTTGCCTCCCAAACTGACTGCGCCTGCCACCCAGGATTCGAGCCATCTCACAAGCTCCATGCTCAGGGAAGACAGTCAGACTTTACCAGCCCAAGCCCAACAGAATTGGGAAGGACCATTTATCACACACACGCACTATGAAACTCATCAGAATGGGCCAAAGGAAACAGCAATCCACTGCCTGGCTATAGATGATCCAATGCCCGAGGCCTGCCCTCCCTTTCCCGTCTCCCAGCAGAAAACTCTAAGCTGATTGGCACCGCATGCAGGGCATGCTCAGATCCTGGCTGGAAATGGCCAAGCCCCACGAGCTCTGCCACTCTGAGCACCCCAGAGAGGCCCAAAGGCTGCCGTTCCATTAGGGAATCAGGGCCCCCACAGCCCCCCGACATCACTCCTGCTGTCTGCAGGCCAGAGACACCTCACTGCCTTAGGGATGCAGCCCGGCATCTGACACACCCTGCACAGGGCTCTCCATCACCCACAACCCCCGTCAATGCCCTCCTCCACCTACTGCTGTCCCCACCAGTCCTCACCACCTCTAGCACCATGGGAAAGCAGCTGGGAGGGAGGGCCTTGTATGGACACCAGCAGGCTGGGTGCTTTCCTGGTTTGGGGGTTGGGAATACAGTGGGGCTCCTCTTCAGAGCTGACGGGGCAAGAACCTCACATCAGTCAGGACGCCCGAATGACACATGGAGCCTGGCAATCTCATTCCAACCATGGGGAGTGCATCTCTCCACACAGGAGACAGAACAGGGGCTACACAGCCCCTTTCACTACCCTTCCCAGGGCAGACCCCAAGGAGTGTCCTAACACCGTACTCTCCTCCCAAGAATTTAAGCACCCTCCGTTCTGGCTTCAAACAAGACCCCTTCCATGAAGGGATCCCGTCACCAAGGGCAAAGCACCTGTAGACACAACAGTACCCAAGCCTGGGTCAGTCAGGACCCAACCAGGACCCTCAGGTTCTCCCAGCAGCATCTAGATCCTGTGGGAAAGAGCACTGGACTGGGAGTCCAGGGACCTGGGTTCAAATGCTTCTCTCCACTACCCTTCTATTCAATGCATCCAAGTGTTTCCCAAATTTCAGTCATCTGTGAGCCACCCTCATGACTTCCTCCGAGTCCAAGCATTATGTGCTATTACTTAAAACTTTGTCAACTCAATTTTCTCACTGAAATGACTTTAGCATCATCTTAAGTCTGAAGTGACCATAAAACCATAAATACAATGTGTATTTAAACATCCATACACTTGATGCGAACTCTCTCCCTGCCTCAGTTTCCACATCTGAAAGGAGAAGCTTGGACTAAATGACTCCTCAGGTCCAAGATTCCACAAGAGGAACTGGTCCCAGCTCTTGGGGCCAGAGCCAGCTGCTCAGGATCCTGGGGCAGGGGAGAGGCAGGTTAGCATGGCACCTATCAGACAGTGAGCCAGGGCCCCATTCCCAGGAGAACTGCTGGCTGAACGCTGAGCAAACAGAAGAGCCGCCAACTTGGAAACTTCCGAGGATCCCAAGCCAGTTCCAAATTACAGAGCTTCCCAGTTAGAAAAACCTCCTTCATTCACCTCTTTTCATAGCTGGGGAAACTGAGGCGGAGAGGAGCTTAGGCAAGGGCAGAACTGAGCTGAAAACTTAAGTGGCCTGACTGCCAAGTCGCGCCATCACCCAGCAATGGTCGCCCCCCAGCAGTCTGAGCTCCCCCCCTTTCCCTCTGGAGGCGTGGGATCGGGTCTGAGGGCCTGCGAGCACAAAGCAGCCCTCCCGGGACGGGGAGCACAGGGACTCTGATTTCACTGGTGCTCAAGCATCCTATTAGAGTGGCTTTTATGCACTTAGACTGGAATGAGCATGCAGCGGCGCCCAGGGCAGCAGCTTCAAAGTCTGTGCAGAGGGGGTTCCGCGGCCCATCTGAACGTGCCCACGAGAAGAAAACGTGGCCCCCAGAGAATGAGAGCATATTAGTCTTCGTGTGTAATAGATTTTATTGACCATATGGAACTGATAGAAAAATCGTGTTGTACAGGGTAGTCTGGACCAGAGACAGGAATACGACAAGAAGAATACAATTTCCATAGCCAGCTGGGTGGCTTTTCCATTCCTGGGCCAGTGCCCCAGGTTCCCAGCAACCAAGCCCCCAGTCTCAGGGCACTTACCTGAGGCTGTCACGGAGGAATCCCAGGCCAGTGAGAAGTCCGAGGCCTCCCCCTCTTCAACTGAAAGAGAGAAAAGAGATGGGCCTGTGAGTTCTGAAGCGGCACAAACAGGTCATCGGTGTGGGGCACAGACAAGAAGAAAAATTGTTTGAGGGTCCCTATAACACCCATGATCGGGGGGAAGGGGCAAAGCCTACGAAAAAGTTTGTATTGGTTTCCAGATTTAAATAACCAGGATACAACATGCACAGCGATAAGGGCTGTAAACACCTGCTTTCCCGATCCCTGTGCCCCGGCAGACATCACGAATCAATCCCAGCACTGTCTTGAGCCAGATGCGGTAGCAGGATCTTTCCCCATAATCTACAGTCAGAGCTTCCACGTGGGATGGAGCCCTCTGCCACCGGCACGAACAGGGCGAAGGTTCACGTCTCCCTGGCCCCGCGGACACCTTCCTCCTCAGACCACCGCTCAGATGTGACGGCTTTCTCAATTTTTCCAAGAAACAAACAAGGACACGCTCACAGGTTAGCGAAGTGTGAGGTGCTAGTCTCCACACTGACACCGGACCCCCAGACAGACCCCAGGACAGGCTGAGGTCAACTCTCCCGAGGTCAGCAGTCATGAGCCGGTGACATTAGAAAGCAACTCAGCTCCCCACTCCACCCCAGAGCCCAGAGTCCACAGGCTGGACAAGGATAGGGTGTCCCCACCACCTCTCACCCTAGCATGGGAGGTCAGGCAGGTTGGGGTGGAGGCCACACACCGGGAGAACACCGGGGAAACTCTATACAGCATAAGGCGGCTCTTGTCCTGAATTAATCCCAGTTGGGGCAGAAATAATATGAAAGCTGCTTGTGGACTTTGTAAAATGGAACTCTGTTTAAGCCAAAACTGCACACACGGTGTTTTCCAGACTTGAAGGCCTGCTACGAAGCTGTAAACGTGAGCAGGCTGGGGCTACCACGTGCCAGCCGGTGCCACAGGCCAGGTGGGCACAACTGTGAGCCAGGTGCTGCGCTGAGGGCTCTGCAGGCCCAGCTGCATTTACTCCCCACCACCAGGCTCTGGGGAGGTGAGGGACCTGCCTGAGGTCTAACGGCCAGAAAGTCCACGCGGCCTGTGGGCTGAACCCCAGCATCGTCTGACTCGAAGCCTGCTCCTGAAACCACTGTACAGGCCCCTGAGTGACGTCATTTCACTCAATGTCATTCTGTTATAGTGTTGATAAGATGCCTCGCTCTTGCCCCTCTTGTTAATTAGCTTAAGGTAAAGCTGGTTTCATTATACGATGACTCACTTAAAACGAAGCACAGAGGATGCTGTCCTGAATCCCGGCAACTCGGGACGAAAGCAGCTGCCCCAACCGGCCCCACAGAAGGCAGCTGGGCAGTGTGCCGGGAGCTGAGCCAGAAGGAGCAGGCCACCGGTTGTGGCAGATATCGGGTTCAAATCCCAATTCTGCCTCTAACTAGCTGCATGAACTTGACCTAATCATTTAACCTCTAGGCTTCAGTTTTCCCATCTCAAAAATGGAGATAATGGTACCTGTGCCATAGAATTGTTGGGAGGATTCAATGGGATGATGGCTGTCACCTGCAGGAGCAGTGGCCCAACCTCTCGGGGGGGGGGCGGGGGCAGTGCCAGAGCTGGAACAGCTCCGGGAATTAACCAGTCCTGCTCTGCCTGGCGCCCACTGCCCCTTTATCATCCCCGCCAGAGCCTCGCAGGACGTGCTTTCTGAACCCTCAGAAGCACTAGAGGGCCATCCACGGCAATGAGCAACAGGACAAGAAGTGCTTGGGAAGGTTTCTCTCTGTCCAAGTTTGCATCCTGAGAGCAAAAACTCGTAATCAGGACAATGAAACGCAGAGAGATGATCTGGGCTGGGAGCGAAGCTGCTGTTTAACTTAGCTGATTACAGCCGCGGTAGGGGTCAAGCGCGAAGCTCTGTAAACAGAGTAAGACCTCGCATCGGACAAAACTGATGTGACCCTCTAGGCCGATTCCAACCAGGCAGCCTCTGAAACAGAGTAGATGTGCTTACAGCAATCGGAAGCGAGCCCTGCCTGAGGAGCAGCTCTAACAGCCCTCACGGCCACGCCAATCAGTTTCCTTCACACGTCACCTTCACTTACAGATACACATATTCGCTTCTATTGAGAGGTGGCTGACAGTTTGTAAGGTCGCCCCTCTGCGTTTTGTTGGACGCCTTCAACAAGGTCTGTGTGGGTCTCTGCACTTCAGCAACCATGGTCATTAATGCATGACCCTAGATCTCCCTGTGTCCTTAGTGTCCCCCAGGTATCAGGACAAATAGTCCCCACACTTGGGCCCACTCATTGCTCTTTGCTTGTGAAGTGTGACCTCCCACCCATCACTGAACTGGAGGACATCACAAGACGCCAAGTCCTTCCCTCCCTGAGATCTGGCTTCGGTCATCGGGGAAAGATGTGAGAACATCAGCCATTTGGTAGCTCTCAGGAGGACTCAAGTCTGTCCCCAGGTATGACAGGCCTGCAGAGGTGGGAAGATGAAGAGAGTCACCTGACGCCGGCTGGCTGGGGAAGTTCAAAGTGGCAGACATCACTAGGGGCGAGCGGCCGCACCTCACACCAGCAACCGCGTCCCTCACGGCCAGGGCCCCGGGGAGCTGACTCGCCTAGGGACTTGGGCATGATTGCATTTGCCACACCCGCTGGCATTCACCCCTGGCCCACAGTTTGTCTTTTGAAGGTATAAACACACCACTCTTTATGCACGCTCGATCAGAAAAAGTTACACCCAACCCCACCACCACCATCCCCAGGCCCGGTGCTACCCGACGCTGCGACGGTGGAGAGGGATTCCCTCCCCTCCCGGTGGGCTCTTCTGCCCACAGGAGCGGTGTGGACTCCAGTCCAGGGGCTCACAAGGCCAGCGCCGGAGCTTCAAACTCCAGCTTTCACTCAAGGCTGCAAGCACCCGGCTACTCATCCCCACTCCAGCCCAGCCACGGGCAGGAAAAGAGCAGGAAACTGAGTATCTCAAGCCACCCAAATGTCCATTTTAGTGGAAAACAGAATCAGGACTTGAGAAGCAGCAGCAGCGCAAAGGCCAGGCACCCAGGAGAATTAAAACGGCTTTCTTTTGTTGAAAGAGTTCCTCGCAGCTCTGTCGGAAGAGGAGCCAAGCACGGGTAAGCCGGTGGTCCCCAGGGACTGGTGCAGCGCCACAGCCTGACCCTCTGTGCCTGTCCCAAGATGTCAGCGTGGCCCAGGGTGCCTCACATCCGTCCCCACCACCCTCACCACAATCGCCCAGCATCAGAGGACTCTTACAGATGTTTCCTCAGCAGCTGCCTGAAAGTCAATCCTTTACTGACCCATTTCATAGAAGGGGAAATAAAGTCCCAGAGAAGAGAAATGGCTCACCTGAGGCCCAGAGGAAGTAACAAAAGCAGGCCAAGAACCCAAGAACCCTAGCTGTCAGGCCCTAAGTCCTTACAGACTATGCTCCCCACCTACGGTGCCTCTCTGACCAAGCAGCTGGCGCTGCTGAGCCCTCACTCGACACAGGCTCTGTGATGAGCTCTTCATACGCCTTGAGCCGCTGCAGCGGCACCTGGCAGCCTGCAGGAAATGCGGAATCTCAGATGCCATCCCAGACATATAGAAACCGCATCTCTGTAGGTGGGCCCAGCAATCTGTATTTTTACAAGCCTCCCAGGTGGTTCTGCTGCATGCTTGAGTCTGAGAACACCGGCCTACACAACCCTATGAGATAAGTACATTTCTTAACCCCATTTTACAGATGAGGAAACTAAGACTAAGTGATTGTTCATCCAAGGGTCATGGAGCTAGGAGGGGGTGGAGTCAGGACTGGGAGGCCTAACCCTTTGCTTTACTTCTGCTTCCCTGTGGCGTGGGGCCAGCCAACATGAGTACAGGCTCTGATTCCCTCTCTGACCACCCCCCTACTCCCGGTCCCAAGCCCCCATGATTTGAATTTATAAAAGATTTCTTCATTCCTTGCCTGTACCAGCTCAGGGGAGCCTAAGAAGAGAATTCATCCTCTGGAGGCTCCCTGGGGCCACCAGGGAATCCCTGGAGACGGTGGTGTGCTGGTCAATGTTTAACAGGTGGCTCTCAGGGAGACAGGGCTCTGGTTTGCAGTGTTTGCTGCTTTCTGTAGTGTAAATACTCCCACCACAGCCCATTGCAAGCTACCACACAGGACACTGCTGATCCTGGAGCTGGGGAGACGTGCACAGTCAGCATGCCACTGGATAAAGGAACAGCCTGGAGGGGTTGGGGAAGGGGCACCTGGTAGGGGCATGTGGGGGCTGAAGCCAGCCCTGGAAGCCACGGGGAGCCCATGTCTCACTGCCCCTTCCCGCCCCTCCTTCCCAGCCCACTGGCCCTGCACAGGTTCTGCCCCCAGCCCCACATTCCCTCACAGTTTCCCTTTCTTCTTGCTGCCTAGATTCAGCATCTTTTCCTTTTTATACATTTTTGACATAAATAACCCATGTACAATAGAAAACTAGGAAACACATGAGTTCAAATGAAGACACTAAAAGCACAACTTTTTCTGTACACAAATGCATTGTTAACAGCTTTCCAGGCCATTGTAACGATACATCTAACTGAACAACGCCAACTGTTCTGGAACTGGTTTCTAACTGAGCAAAACAGAGTGGACGTCTTTGCACATCACAAACGTGGACGGACACGTCAGCACTAACAGTGGCCTCGGTCCAGTCCCAGGAGGCACCAGGACTAATTAGCCAATGCCCAGTTGCTGGACACCTAGGCTACTTCCACCCAGGTAACACTCCACACACACCCAATGTGGCCATAGCCTAGCCAGGGATTTTTCTTAGAATAAGTTCCCAAAAGCTGGATTGCTAGACAAAGAGTGTCCCCGTTTTTAGGCTTTGGAGACAAACTGCCAACGTGCATTTGTCCATCTGCACCTCTGATAAGCATTGTGCATCTGTCTCCAGGTGACCTAGAGCGCTGAGCTAGGAACTAAGAGAGAGATGAGAAGAGGGACTCTGACTCTGACCGTCAGTTATTAGACTGTGAGCACCATGGTGAGGGGCACAAGCATTACCAGCATTGTGCCCCTCAAGGGCGGGCACATTACAGGAACTCAGTGAATGAATGACGGAAAGGATGGGTGGATGGATGGATGGATGGATGGATGGATGGATGGATGGACGGACGGACGAGCAAACATACTACTACGGCAATGTTGGAGGGTGCAAAATTAATTCAAATCTCAGAGCGAGACAGAAACAAGTGGAAACAGTAAGAACCCAGCGTAGCTGCAAAGGAGTGGATGGGAGCCAAGGTGAAAGTCAAGGTCCTGGACAGCAGGGACCACTTGCTACCCACAGCCCAGAGCTCAGAGGTGGGGCCTTTCTGTCCTCAGTCCAGGCTCCAGAGAAGGCTCAGGGGGAGGGGACCAGCACAGAGCTAGGATGAGTTTCTACTTCAACCACAGGTAAAATTCTGATATCCTTTTACACTAACATGCAAATCCCACTTCAGAAAGAATGATAATCGTGTATACAAATCTTAAAAGTCTGTAGGTCTCTTTTCTAATGTAAATAAAAATTTTCCTGCTCTGAGATGAAGTTCAGGAAAATCAAATCAAATTGCATTTGCCTCAGCGAGGAAATTTAAGGTAGGGGAAATCTGAGGCAGCCCCACTGGCCCAGCCGGGCCCAGCCCAACCCTACTTTGGGTTCTGCCCGTGGGGAAACCCCAACTCAGGCCCAGGGCTTCAAGTTTCTCGCCCAAGCCCCCAGGGTCAACCTGATCATCAGCTACAGAGCCACCCTTTTCCCATGGTTAGAAATATCACCCAGAGCTCAGGCTCACCTCCTCCAAGAAGCTCTCCTTGTCCACCCTGGGATGGACTGAACTTAGCATCTGCAGCAGGGTATAGTCAAAGCAAGATGCCTTAGGATCAAATCTCAATCCCCATGGTTTGCTGTGTGACCTGTGCAAATCAGTTAACCTCTCTGTGCACAGTGACACTGCAAGGTAGCTCTGAGGATAAAATGAGAAGGTGCTTAAAAGGTATACAATCCAGAGCCTGATACCAGATGCTTGACAAAGGGTAACCATGACCTACAGCCTAACAGGTGGCCCCTGGTGGCCGCCTCAGCCCCTTTAAGGAGACCCTCTGTCTCCTCTTTCTCCAACCCTGCAGATCGCCCAGCACACAACAGTGACACGGGAAACAATCACTCACCTCTTCCCACATGTGTCACGTTTATGTTTAACCCTCCCCATGGCCCTACCCAGGGGTTGGATGATGGGGCACATTTTACAGATGGGCAAAGCAGGACCTAAACGAACGCTTTAAGTGGGCTAAATTAGAAACTACATAAGCAGTGGGAGGTAGAGCCCGGATTGCAGCCAGGTTCGCGTGGCTCCAGGCTCACTCACCTCCCACCACCCAACCGGCCTCTCCCCGCCGGTGCGGGAAAACAGGCAGGGGTGGCAGAGCTTCCCGCGCCTTCCAGCCCGGCTCGGAGAAGCCACAGCTGCTGGCGGGCTGGGGTTGAAGTGACGCCTCGTTTGGGAACCTGCAGAGACGGGTCTGTGAGGTCTGGCTGAGGTTGCCTCATCACAAACTCTCCCTCCCACCTGCTGTGACCCAGGGCAATGTCCCCACCTCTCAGAGTCCTGGTCCCACGTCTATGGAGTGGGGATAAAAAAAAACTCCCATTTGTTTCTAAGACAAAGTGGAAACCCCTGCCCAGAGCCGAGCCCCGCGCCCCGCACGCCCTGCGCCCCCAGCGAGTCCGCTCAGGGCCGGGTGTGTCCTGAACCCCCTTTGGGGAGCCCTGTGCCTGGCTCCAGGCTGCAGGCCCCAGGCCTCCCGGGCCCTCAGGTTTCACCCCGCCTCTCCCCGAGGTTAATCTCCTCGCTCGAGTGTATGTATCTCATCTCATACAGTCCCCCTGCTCGGTCTCGTTAACCAGAACCGCGCAGCGTATAAACGTGAATTTACGACGGCGTCTGGCTCCCACATCCTGTTTCGGTGGCAACACTGGGTTCTCGCCCACCAGCTGTCCCACTCTGACGGAAGGTGACAGAGCCTGGGCAGACTCTGCCGCGCTCCGAGTGGCCGCAACAATACGCCGCACAAAGCGGTGGATGGGGTGACCTGCTGTGCGTGAGGAACCCGAAGGTGGGCGCCAGGGCCCTGGGGTCAAGGGTATCAGCCTGAGGTCCTGGAGAGGAGGGGACAGCACCTGCCCAGACCTGTCTGATGTGTGGGGTGAAAAGGCAGGAGGGGGTGAGACCAGAATCCCACTCGCTCCTTTTTTTCCACTTTCATTTGGAGAAAAGCACCATAAAGTAAAAAGTAATTATTTTTTACGGCCCCTTAACAACCCATCCTCTGTGCTAACATACTGTAAATAAAAGCCAGTACCTACGTGTGCTTCACCTTAAACCCAGGCAGAGGAAACTGAGTTGCTTATTGAAAACCGATATTGTGTGTGTGTGCGTGCACACGTGTGTCCATGCATGTGTGTGTGCACATGTGCATGTGTGTATATGTGTGTATGTGTGTGTATGTGTTTGTAGACCAGCCCTCCATCT